ATCTTTCCTTTCGTTCCGGTGCGGATTATGGTCGTTAAGGTCTCGTGGTCCGATGTGGTGTGGAGGTACTCTTCGATAATACTATCTACGTTATCTATGTCGGAGAAGACTAGGTTAATAGTGTGGCCTCTCGCGTGTATTACTTTATTGGGTGGGGATTTAAGAGCTATTCGATGTTGCTCGAGCTATTATATAAGCTCTTTTGCTCCGTAAGACTCTCTCACGCCAGTTTCCTAGAGGTTATAGTGTGTGTTGAGGTCCCCTGCGATAATAGTGTTCTTTGGGGGTTAGTAGCGAAGGAGTATTTAGAGGGTTCCTCCTTCTACTGCTTTATGTGGTGGTCTATAGACGTTTATGATAGTAATTATATTCCGGGCTTGTATTGTTACCTAGTATATATCTGCCGTGTCCGCCGGTCGTAGCTGTGATGGTTGTAGGTTCCGGCCTTTGTGTATGTAGGTAAGTATCCTAGGTCGTTTTGTCTAGTTATTATTTGGGTAAAAGATATAGTAGGATGGGTGAGTCTTTGTTCTCCTCTGCTCTAGGAGGCTGTGTATCCAGGGTTCTTAAATAAGAATTATATCCGCCCCTTCTTCGAAGGCGAGATTTAGGGCTATTTCATGGTATGCTTGTCCGTGTACTATATTCGCTTAGAAAAGGCGTATTTCGTTACGGCTAGTATTCCTATTTAGTCTCGGTTTTATTAGCGAGAAGGCGTATTCTGTTTAGTCTCGTCTAATACGATTTCTAGTTCCGGACCTTGTCCCTCACCGGCTTACGTAGGGTTAGTAAGGCGGCTGGCTGTGGCTCTAGCTTTCCTTACTGTCCTGAGCGCAGCCTTAGAAAGCCTAGTAATGACTCCGTTCTTGACTGTTGGCCGAGCTGGGCACGTTCTTTCGTCTGCAGTATAAGGACTAGCGCAGTTACAGCACTTAGGGTCCGACTCGCAAGTAGCGTAATCGGTTGATCTATATCTAATGTACCTACTAGATCTTTAACAGCCCCGTGCGTCGTGGTAGCCGTGGCATTTAGTATATTGGAGAATGCTGGCTTTGCGTTTGATTTGGCGAGCCCTAGCGCTCGTGCCGAATAGCCTAAAAGGTAGCGTTGCCTTAGTAAAGGAGACTACTAGTGTTCCTTCTGGTGCATCTTTAGTAGACCGTCGCGACCATGTGGCTCGTGTGGGGGTAGAGCTAGTCTGGGAGGAGATCTCCTCAGTTAGTAATTGTGGGTTGACCTTATGTCGTTCGCCGTTAAGGCCGACTATCTACTTTAGGGTTTGGTCGACTACGTAGGTATACCAGGTCTGTGCGATTTCGGCTTTCCCGCTAATGAGGGTGGCTATATTGTTAGCTTTGCCCCGGATTGCTGACGTGGCAGCTTCACCGCTTGGGACGATTGCAATCCCTAATTTGACGTGTTAGACTTCTCGCACAGTATCTTTTGCGAGGTCTAGTTGCGTGATAATAGCTGCTTTAATTGCGAAGGGTTGGTAGTTGCGCGCTGGGTAGTCCGGAGGAAGTCTGATAAAAAGCCTGTTGTCTTTTTCTTTTAAGTCCTGTGCCTTTAGGGTCTT